CAAGTTAGCTGTTTTATTCTTTAACTGTATCTCAATCAGTTAGTTATTTTAACGTTTATTTGAGGTGATGTTACCCTTACAAGAAAGAACATAGTAGTTTGGTCCACGGTTTTGACTTCGTTACACTTGTTAGAAGAAGCTTGATCGGAAGATAGTTTATGCTGAGAAAACAAACCTCAAATAATTAATAACTTGCAACACTTGAGTGTAATTCGTAAAGCACAAAACAAAGTAATCACAAAAGACGCAAAAAGCACATTGAGCCAATAAGAACTCGAGGCAAAAACACGTGACCAGCGCAGAGCGGGCAAACAATACAACTCAAGCTAGCCACTGGAAACCAGTTTTATGTCGAGAAGCCATTTTTACAAAACGCACCTCGTTTCTGAAGTTGTTTCTCTCGTGCTCAGCAGCCAGCAAAGCATCAGAGAGCTCTTTCTTCAGCTGAAAAAAAAAAAATACAAAAATGTAGAGTGAACGATCTCATAAACCGTTTAAAAGCCAAGATGAAGCGTAGCCAAGTGAAGGGTTTTATTGCAAAGCTCCGAGTATTTTTAGGGGCATTTGTATGGTACATGAGAACGTAGGCCATGAAAAAACGTGGTCGTTTTTTTTTTTATTCTTACAAAAAACATTGGAATCTTATCAGCAAATTAGGAGAGCAATCATTGCAAAATAGCATACGCATTACAGTACGAAAGATCATATTTTTTTGTTAGAAGCAATCTACTAAGTTGGAGATTTCTGGAAAATGTCCGATTGACAATTCATAACTAGATAGTTTTTTATTTACTGGGAAAAAGCCCTAATAATTTTTACAGTCTTATAAAATTTCCTTACGACATCACGTTACAAGTTACGTCGCGCTACTTATGGTTCCTTAGTCTGTACTCTCCGTCATCAATCATAACTCTTGATCAATGCTTGAGCGCACGAGATTATGGAGTTACTATACCCAATCGCACCTTTTTGTTACGCTTCAGCCCCATACCGGGCGAACTTGGTCGAGCCATGGTTCGTATTTTGGCAACAAGAAGTCGAACTAAAATACCCATGCCGAGACCAAACGAACCTGATATGCGGACACCAAAGCTTACCAAAATATTTACGATTAGTAAAGGTAAGGTAAAGTCTGCATACGAGCCAAGTGGCCCATCAGGCCGGAACTTATCTCCGGTTTCTGTAGCATGAAGTGACTAGGAGTATTTCTACTCCCCCTGGATGGGATGCTAGTCCATCGCGGGGTTACCCCAAGCATGTTACCCATTTATTCACCTGGGTGG